CCCGCTTTGAAAATATTTCACTTCTCCTCCAAGAAGCTTCTACATTTCTGACTGCATTCTGACCATTCAGTAAGAACTGGAGAAGCTTCTCGGATGAGAAACGAAATGTTTGCAAGGGAAAAAAAACCCCAAGGAAGTCCAGTGGCCTTTTAAAAAGCACCTTTGGATCCCTCTGTGATGTTTTTGCATTATTATTAATTTTTTTTGATGCACGAGACACTCCTAAATTAGAGTTTCTGTAGTGGCTGCAAGTGGGAGGAATCTTAAGTCTTTGGGTGGCATGATCCCAGGGGTCGGCAACCGCATGTAGCTCTTTCATCCCACTGCTGTGGCTCCCTGTTGACGGTTGGTGCCACAATTTTGAGAGGTGCTTCCAGTTACGGAGGGAAGAAAGCACGGTGCGCTAGGAGGAGACTCTATGGTAAGGGGCGGGTTTTCCAGTTGGCTCTGCGATTGACAGGGCTTTCAGTTAGGACAGGTAGAGGAAAAAGCATGCTGCACTAGGAGGAGGCTCTAAGGTGGGGGAATTGGAGTTCCGGTTGGCAGAGGAAAAAAGATGCCACTCTAGGAGGAGAGACTATGATGGTGGTGGGGGGAACCAGACTTCCGGTTGGCAGAGGAAAAAAGATGACACGCTAGGAGGAGACTCTATGATGGGGGGGGGACCAGACTTCCGGTTGGCAGAGGAAAAATGATACCATGCTAGGAGGAGGCTCTATGGTGGGGGAATTGGAGTTCCGGTTGGCAGAGGAAAAAAGATGCCATGCTAGGAGGAGACTCTATGGTGGGGGGGGGACCAGACTTCTGGTTGGCAGAGGAAAAAAGATGCCATGCTAGGAGAAGACTCTATGGTGGGGGAACTGGAGTTCTGGTCAGCTCCAGAAATGAATGGGGAGGCTTCCGGTTAGGACCTTTAGGGCTCTTTTGAGTGTTTAAGGATGCCGACCTCTTTCCTATCCCTAGGATGTGGTTACGGGTTATTCTCCAATCCTTTGTATGTGGCTACTGGGCTACTAGAGTTTTCCTAGAACACAATTGCTGGAAATCAGTGACCGAGTAGTGTTAATTCAAGCACAAATTAAGCCCTGGAAACCTGACCCTTGGTCTGTCCTCACGCTGTTCAGGAGGACAACCCCTTAAAGAAACATTAAGAGTGGCCTCCAGACAACAAAGAAATGGGCTGTTTCCTGATATTGTGAGATCTCAAAAGTCTACATTGGGGGAGGTTTATGAACAGGTTAGGATAGCTCTTAGGTGAGCCCCTCCCCGAATAGCATCTTCTTGTTCTGGACTAGTCTTACAGGGTGGTGCTGAGCAGAACTTGGCGGGGAGACCCTTCCTGCAGAATTGGGGGTGAGGATGTTTGTGTCCGGGATGGGCTTTCGAAGAGGTTTGCGTGAATCCCTTGACCTTTCGTTTCTTCCCCATCCAAGCAAACACCATCTGTAGCACTCCACCGCATTTCCAGATGTCGCCATATGCAGATGTTCTGCCCATTAGAAAAGAGTTAATGCTTTTGGGTTCACCATCCGTCTCGTGACATCACAAGCTAAACTCTTCCTGTAGCTCTCCAAAGACCCAGGTGGCCTGTCCAAAAAATGGGGCTCAAAAACTTTCTCGCCCAAGTCTTGAGGTTCCGTTTCCTGTGTGCCGTAAGATACTCCATGCCTTCCTTCTTCCCGATGGGCAAATTTTGCTGACCTGCTGCTGCTCCTTCTCCTCTTCTAGATGATCTGACTGGGGCTGCCCTGATTCCGGCATCTCCAGAGGCATGGGCTCCCTACCCCCTGTACACCACGGAGCTTACCCCTGCCATCCCACATGCAGCTTTCACCTATCCAGCTGCTGCAGCTGCTGCCGCTGCTCTTCACGCTCAGGTGAGTTCACAATGGAACGTTGTTGTTGTTTTTTTTCCCCCTTTGGGTGTGAATCCCCCTCTTGAAAGGGACAACAGAACATCTCTGCTTCCAAAACTTTATTTCGTGCTGAGGGTTCTTCCCAGGACGGAGAACTTCAGCGAGTGGGTGGAGAGTTGATGTCCCGAGAGATTCTTCCCCTCTTAACCAAAATAGCCAGCATCCTCAGGGAGAAAGCTTCTATCCTCCCCAAATCTGCCTTAAATTTAGAGAAAAACAGTGGGCTGCCATTCCCTTCTACTTCTCAAGCAGGTTTGTTAGAGGAAATAAATTAAGCAGACCTCCAAAGGCAGGAATGTCCAACCTTGGCAACTTTTAAGACTTGCGGACTTCAACTCCCAGAATTCACCAGCCAGCTGTGCTAACCTGGCTAGGGAATTCTGGGAGTCAAAGTCCCAACAGGTTTTACAAAGTTACCGAGGTTGGACATCCCTGCTCCAAGGGATCCAAACACTAGCTCAAAAATGAACTGCGCTATTCCAGCAAGCATGGAGGACTTGGGTCAGCCGCTCGAGAAACAAAAGAGAACTTCTTTCCAACTTCTCAGATTGTCCCAGGATGGGTATTTTGATCCCGTTTCAAAAAGCCGTTGTTGGGAAAGCCCACGCCTATTTTACCTCTTGTGGGGGCAGCCAAAGGAATTGGCCATCTCAAGTTCAAAGGATGAGTAAAGTCAGGAAGGGTGACCCCCACAGTTGGAGAGATGGATAAGAAGGAGATGGTCATGTTCCATTTCTGGACAGTGTCCGAGCTGAGAAGCTTCCCTGTTGAGAACAAGGCCTCTTTCAATCTGGCAAAGAATAGTATGATGTCAGCTTGAACTTCGTCCCTTCAAAAGCCATTATACGACTGTTAATTTTGGTCCATACAAGTCTGTTCTTGTATGGTCTTGACCCTTTTCCCCTCCGTCAAAGGAACTAAGGATAGCTTGCTCTGCAGATGTTTGAAGGAAGGAAGAACATAGTTTAGCATGGTGACCAAGCCATAAGAATGTATACAAACAGAGGTAAAATAGATAAAATGCACAAGATCCAGAGTGGGGGAATAAATAACTGTTTTTACAGATTATAATCCGTCTCTCTCTCTCTGATTCCATGGAGTCAGAGTTATCCCTTAAGGGGAATTTTAGTAAATCCACATTCATTTCCTGATTGCGAAAACATTTTTTATTAGAAGCTTCACCTCAAAGAGACTCCCTAAGCTACGTGTGGGTGTACGTACAAGCATTTGGATGCCATTACAAACAACCCTTGTTTTAGGATTAGAATCTAAAAAAAACAAAACGAAGATAAAAAGATGGGAAAGGAGCTTTTTTTTAAAAAAAAAACAAAACCCAACCACGTTCCGCTTTTTCAAAAGAGTTTGGAGAATGATCTCGCCTCCATTCCCTTAATAAAGGAACGCTGGACAGAAACGTCATTTCTGACCAGTCTCTCTCTCTGTGCTCACTTTTATGTGCTTACGTGTCCCTGGCCCACTGTTTAGAGAATGCAGAACAGAAATGGTGCAGAGTTTATAGTAACTCTTGGCTAAACAATATGGGTTGCAAAGGACGAGCTTTGCAGACCAAGGGTGCGAAACTTAAAAGATTTTGGCCTCGGGAAACTGCCGTGCCGATTAAAAACCATCAGCTTGTGTTCTTATAATTTTGAAAATTTGGGAACGGAGGACTGCAGATACGTCTCCTCTTTCCTTAGAAAGACGGTTTCCCCGGGCTGATGTCTGCAGGTTTGTCCTTTAAAAGCAAAACGAATGTGTTACTCATAAAAGCCCTTTGAGTTAAACATTACTTCACTCTCCTTACTAAGCAACGGGAAGCTCAGAGTTCCACCCACCACTCGGGACGAAATCCTGGTGCTGAATTTTGAAATTCTTCATGAAATAATGGAAGAATTGTTTCCTCAATTTTTTTCGACAGGAGTAGAATGGGGATGTTTGCCTAACCCCTTGGCCTACGTGTTTAATCAATTGAAGTGTCCTATTTCATTACTGCTTGATGATGGGGAGGTTATTTATGGGTCAAAATCCAAGGAAATGAAATGGACAATTCTGGGTGCAAATTCTTGGTCATCCATTTCTTTGAAGATTCTAGGTCAGGTGTGTCCAAACCTGGGAACTTTTAAAACTTGTCGACTTCAACTCCCAAAATTCTGGGAGTTGAAGTCCACAAGTCTTAAAAGTTCCCAAGTTCTAGGTGGTGCTTTATGGGGATGAAACTCCTAATGATTTGGAGAATTCCCCAAATTCCCAGCATGGCTGGCTGGGGAATTCTGGGAATTGAAGTCCACAAGTCTTAAAGTTCCCAAGTTTGGACCTCCTGCTCTAGGTGATGCTTTATAGGGATCAAACTCCTAATGATATGACTCAGCCGTCATATCTATAGACGCGTTGACACCCTGATCTTCCAGTTGTTGTGTATTTTTTTTAAAATTGCTCCATAGTCAACCTTAACCAACCCATGGCTAAGCTCACTAAGCCATGATTTGTTTTACCTAGCCTGAAAAAGCTTGGTGATTATGTTCACAAATACTATCGGCCCAGAACAAGCCATGCTACGACTCAGTATAATGTATGAATTGCCCGGTGGGTGGGTTGTGCACACACAATCTATCATCTTCCCTAGTCCCTGGTGGCCTCCAGATGTTTAGACTGGGGAGAGACTGGCTAAGGATGGTGAGACTTTTGAAGGGTGAGGCATCTGAAGAATAACAGGTTGGCGAAGAACAAGCACCTTCAAAGGAGGTTCAGCTAGTTAGACCATTCTATAGTACTTGATGCTTTTCCTCTTATGGGAAATAAATGCCCCAGTTTCAATGACCCGAGAAGTCCTTTGGGCAAGGAAGGTCCATGGGTCCCTAAGGAAGAGAAGCTCCAGTGGATGGAGAGATTCCATGAACCTTCTTCTAATGAACTTGATGGACACTGAAAACTCATAACCTCTGTTGCCTCTCAGGGCCGGTTCCCCCACCCCTGACCTCACCCAAGAAATGTCCTCTACCCAGTGGCCTCTGCTACCCATCAAACAAGCCTCTTGCCCCCACCCAAGGGGCTCCCACAATGGCCCAGCTCTTGGTTGAAATGACCCCTCCTTTGATGTCTTCAGTGAACCTGCAGCCCAGGATGCCTACACAGGCTTAGCTCTGAAGCTCAGAACTGGCCTTGGACAGGTGGGGACCTCACAGTCCTGACTAAACCCTGCTAGAGTTGGAGTAAGTTCATTCCCAGAGGCCTTTCAGGATGGGGCCCGTCTGGAACAGGCTGGTAAGACGACAACATTTGCCATTTGGGGCACAGTGGGTTGTTTTGTTCTTTTCTTTTTCTATTTTTTTCCCCCCAAAAAACTTTTCCGCAAGCTTTATTTTGTTTTTGCCCCTTCTGTTCCTTAGCAACCCAATGCATGGGCCTCCACGCTATTCACCCACCGAAAGCCCAAGCGACATGAAAAAACAAAAACAAAACAACAACAGGCATTTCTCTAACCCACCTCTGGCCAACTTGGCGCATATGATACGGGCACCACAGCATGGCACTTCTTGGGCTCCCCTTGGAGCACCGATGGGTTTATCCCACCCGGGAGGGGTGGGGTGGGGAGGAAAGGAACCCCTGGTGAAGGTTTCCTGTCGCCTGGTGGTCTCAGGGGTGGGAGAGGGTGGGAGTGCCTCTCGGCCACCTTGTTTCACTCACCACACTCACCTGCTGGGGAGGGAGGGTGTAGTAGTAGTAGTAGTAGCAGCAACAGCAACAACACTACGGATTTAATTTTTCCTCCCCCACACACTCAACTGGCACATATCAATCACGCTATGGACTCCGCCGGGGAAGGGGAAAAACACTCCTCCCGTGGCTGGAATCTGGGGGGGGGGGGAAACCTCCTTTCACACTCCTCCCCTCCCTCTCTTTCTTTCTCCCCTCCTTCCAAAAATGAGTAAAATTCTGACTTTGACGCGATGATGTAAAATGTAAGCAATCTGGGACGATGTGAGTGTTAAGGGAAGAAGCTGTTAATTGGAAGGGGCTAAGCGGTGGCAATATTTAAATCTGAGAGTGGCCTGAATTGAGCGGCAGAATTTTACCCCTTAAGGGGAGGCATCCTCTCTCACCTGGAGGGGAATGCCTCTTCTAAGGCAGGGATGATGTGCAGAACAAGATGCTTTTTGTTTTAGAACTGGTTACTGGTGTGCAGAGGTAAGGAATGGACTCAAAAGAGCATTGCACGGTGGGTTGAATTATTCAATTATTGTGTGTATGTAAAACGGAGGTCTTTAAACTTTGCAACTTTAAGACGCATAGCTGGCTGGAGAATTCTGGGGATTGGAAGTCCCCCCGTCTTAAAGTTGTCAAGATTGGAGACCCCTAATTTAAAAGCTGTTGGAGAGAAACTTCATTGGAGGAAGAGTGAGATTAGCGTCAAGCAGGCATTTCAGCTCCCAAAGGTGCTTTTTCAAGAGTCAACTGAGCTTCTTCTGTTTTTTCCTGGAAGACGTTTCGCTTCTCATCCAAGAAGCTTCTTCACTTCTGGCCGAAGGGAAGGATTTCATCATTCAGTCAGAACTGAGGAAGCTGGGAGAAGCGAAACGCCTTCAAGGAAAAAAAAAACCAAAGGAAGTACAGCTGCCTATTGAAAAAAAGAACCCTTTGGGACAACCATGACCTGGATGACCGATTGGCTTCCTTGGAAA